GGAGAGACGCTGCAAAGCATCATGGGACAACCTGAAGGTGGTCACCAAACACGAAATGAAGGCAGGGCTAAAGAACAAGATGACGGACTTCCTGAAGGACTGTACACAAAGGATCATCATCCTGAAGGTGGTGCACCGCAGGGTCATTAACAGGTGCTACACACACACACAATATACACACACACACGTGCACTAAATACACGCACAATAACACAGATGTGTGTGCGTGTCAGGTTCCACTCCTTCCTGCTGTTCCTGGGTCAGCCGTCATCATCAATCAGAGACATTAAGGTCACGAGCTTCTGTCGCATCATCAGCGAGTTCGCTCTCGAGTATCGAACGACCAGAGAGCGAGTCGTCACCCTGAAACGAAAACGAGCCGCTCACCGAGAGAGAACCAAGACCAGAGGCAAGATGATCACCGAGGTAACGACCCCGCTGACCCTGACGCACGCGGGGAGGTCAGAGGTCGCAGCACGACAGGCGCTCAGAGCGGCTCCATTGTTCTCTGGTTATTTTTAGTTGTGTTTGATCCCAACTCAGCTGTTCTTCATCCTCCTCATCTTCCTCTCAGACGGAGAAGTTCTCGGGGGCGGTGCCTCACCCGGACAGTCCCTCCCCTGTCTCCGTGTCGACAGAGGCGGAGTCAGCTCAGGAGGAGGAGCATGAGAACATGAAGAACCTGTTGATCAGCAGCGACGTCAGTCTGAGTGTCGACCCGAGAGGCCTGAGACGCTCCAGAGCCGTCCGCAGTAAGACTCAGTCCGAGAACTTGAGTAAATGTACTTAGTTACTTTAAAGATGCTTTGTCTGACATCACATCACAGGAAGGAAGCTGTTACTAGTTTTATTTCAAAATAAAAGCCTCCATTTTTTGATTCAGAATCTGTGTTGAGTCAGATCTGATCGTACATGACGGCTCCCTGAAGTAACGTCAGTGTCTCTCTGTGGCCCCCTGGTGTCTGGCTGCAGTATAGGTCATAAACCTCGCCTCATCCATGTTAGCAGATGGGACATGGACCAAAAAAAAGAAGACGTTTGTCAAAGATGGTTTCTGTCTCATCACACTGATGTTCAAGTGTTTACGTTTCTGATCAGTTTGGTTTTAATTCGTTATTTGATGCTACAAAGACGGGCGGAGACGTTATGATTGACAGCTAACAGACAAACTTTGACCCCCAGTGATTCAGCGTTCGTATCAGACATGTCATCCATCTTTATTTAATGTCAGTGATCGGTGAATGTCTCAGACTTTCTCCACAGTGAAGACAGATTGAGTCTTGTTCTGGACATCCTGGTCTCCAGCCTTGTTCTGGGTTAAGTTCTGGTTCTGGTCTACAGGTCTCGGCAGGGTGAGTCCGTGTCAGATGTCTGTAGCCAGAGACGACGGGACCAGCTCCCAGGACGACGCCACAGACGAAATCATGGACCGACTGGTCAAATCCGTTACTCAGAATCCCTCAGACAGAGCTTCAAGCCCCAAGACCCGCAAACGCTCCCGACTCAACAGGAAGTCATGTAAGTACAGAGAAATGTCGTAATGTTCCTTTAAGGTCAGATGTGAGCAGACGTCTGTGGCTTGCATCTTCAGAAGGTCGTGACCCCGCCCCCTCGCCGCCTCGCTCTGGTTCAGACTCTGTTGAGACACAACAGCGGCTCTGTGTTCACAACATCCTCGTTATCTGAGCAGCTTCACGTCTGTGTTTTCACTTCATCACTTAATCCGTCACATGATCGTCCAATCAGATCGACCTGCTGCTGCGGAGGACGCCCCGACCTCCACCGCCACTCGCAGTCATCACGCAGCCGAACACTGAACGAAAACTTTCAGCCGCAGTAATATTGATCGGTTAATGAGATGACGTCAGAACTCACCGCTGCACGTGATTGGTCAGATTAACGTCAGGGCAGCGTCACACATTCACAGCGTAGCTTCGTGGCCGGTGACGTCACAGCTTCCACCAACATTAACGACGTTTGTGTGTCGACCTCACTTTGTGCGTCGTCGGTGTAGTTTTCACCGTGAGACTCTGAGCTGCGACTTTATGATGTCGCACATGAAAGTAACTCGACAACCGCTCGTCCGACGACAACAACCTCACACGGACGACACACCTGATTCCTGTGTGCGTCACATGGAGCTGTAAGATGCAAACAGACAAACAACAACAGTGATGTTCGGTGTGTGGACACAGCAGCAACACATCACACAGACACACAACAACATCACACAGACACACAACAACATCA